TATTTCCATGTTCTTTTTATATTTCCTCCATTATTCAATATTTTGCTGATAAACTCAAAAAGGAAAATCAAACTCACTGCCACTGAGTTGATTCCAACTCATAGTGACCCCCATCGGGGTTCTGAGGCTGTAAATCTTGTTTTTTTTTTTCCCTCCTGCAGAATGGCTTGTGGGTTTGAACTGCTGACCTTCTGGTTAGCAGCCAAATGCCTTACCCACTACACCACCAGAGATCCTTAGAATCCTTCAATATTGCAACTATAGCCTTGAGTTTCTTCTTCATTTCTTTCCATTTGAGGAATGCTGAGTGTGTTCTCCTTTTTGGTTTTCTAACTCCAGCTCCTTGCACATTTCATTATATTTTGTCTATTTGAGGCACATTTTTAAATCTTCTGTTCACCTTTTTTTTTTTATCAATTCTTCCATTGACTTTAGCTGCTCTACTTTCAAGAGCTGTTGAACTTCTCCATCCTCATAGTCAATTTGATTCTTATGTATTTTATCCTTTCAGATCCATGTGTATGTTTACCATTTATGTTGTTGAAGTAAGGTATTTACAATGAATAAGTCATTGGTCTTGCAAAATCCCATCATGCAATCTCCGGCATCTTTTTTGTCACCAAGGCCATACTTTCCAACTACGAATCCTTCTTCACATCCAGCTTGCCCCTTCCAATCACCAGTGATTATCAGTGCATCTTGATGGCATGTTTGATCAGTTTCAGACTGCAGAAGATAATTTAAAAAAACTTCAGTTTCTTCATCTTTGACATTTGTGGTTGATGTCTAAATTTGAACAATAGTTGAATTAACTTGTCTTCCACTCGCTGGCCATCATTGATTCCGGCTCATAGCAACCCCCATTGTGTTCCCAAGGCATTAAATCTTTATGGAAGTAGATTGCTCCATCTTCCTTCCAGGGGCTTCAACCTACAACCTCTGGTTAGCAGTCAGATGCCTTAGGTACTGCATCACCAGAGCTCCTTGTTTTTCTTATAGTTGTGTGGCTGTTATCCTATAACTGACAGCATTATACTTCTGGATAGATCTTGACAATGAATGCAACACCATTCCTCTTTCATTTGTAATTGCCAGCATAATAGATTATATGATTGTATGATTGAAAATAGCCAACATGTTTCCATTTCAGCTCACTAATGCCTAGGATATCCATCATTATGCATTCCTTTTCATTTTCAGTGACTTCCAGTTTTCCTGTATTCACACTTCGTACATTCCACATTCCAATTTAATGAATATTTGCAGCAGTTTCTCATTTAGAATTGTGCCACATTAGCAAATGAAGGTCCCAAAAGTTTTTGACCATCCATCATTAAAGTCAGCTCTACTTTGAGGAAGCGGCTCTTCCCCTAGTTATGTTTTGAGTGTCTTTCAACCTGAAGATCTCATTATCCAGCACTCTATCAGCGTTGCACTACTATTCATAAGGTTTTCTTTGGCTCTTTTTTTTTGCAGTAGATCACCAAATCTTTCTTCTGCTGTGTCTTAGTTTGGAAGCTCTGCTAAGTGAGACCTGTCAACCGTGGGTACCCTGCTGGTATTTGAAATTGCCTACCTTCCAGCTTGACAGCAATGAGCAAGCGACTACAATAAAAGAAATTGACAGATTAAAAGGAACAAAACAAAACTCACTGCCATTCAGCCAGTTTCGACTCATAGGGACCCTCATTAGGTTTCTGAGGCTGTAAATCTTTACAGAAGTAGATGGCCCCATCTTCCTTATACGGAGCAGCTGGTGGGTTTGAACTGTTGACCTCCTGGTTAGCAGCCAAATACCTTATCCACTACACCACTAGAGAGATAAAAGATGGTAATAAAAGTGGAAGGCTCACTACAAGCAATGGACATCATTTATTGCTCCTGTTAAGATGGGCAATAATCTCCTTATGGCTATTCCAGGTTTCACTGGTATCAAGATCAGTTCTTCCCCTTCCCCTGACTAAGATACTTCAGCTAAGTTCTGGGTTTCTTCAGAGAGTGATAATCTCCCTCTAAGACACATTCTTTACTGTGTGTCCATTACTAGCTCTTAGATCCATTAGCAGTAATGATATGGGGAGGGAGATACAGCACAGTAGTGCACTCTGCAGAGTGGTTTGCATTACCCCAAGGGAAAAAAAAATCATTTGCTTTATCTGGAAATATTTGTTATTTCCAAATAGCAAAAATATATATATCCATCTGAAAATGTTTTCATTCTTGTAAAAAGTAGTATAATAACAGCAATGAAATTGTTGTAGAAGCTAATGGAAAGTTTTTGTGTTTGCTTATTTGAGTATATGCCGAATCTATCATTCCAACACAGTTATGGGCATTCTTGTGCATTCCCCTTCAGTCTTGACTTTATGCAGTCTTGACTTTATGCAGTCTTATTTCCCTCAGTATTTCTTGTATCTCACTGTGAACATGTGATTTAATTTAACCAAATTCTTCTAAAATGCTCTCACATTGTAAATTTAAAAAAAAAATTCCTCAACTACAATTTTTATGATAATATGTTATGAGGACATTCTCAGAGCTAGAAACATATATGTGTGTGAGTGGATATGTATATTTTTGTACATATCATATATTATTTGTTATCAGTATTTTTACTAACCAGCCAAATAAAGGGCATTAAAAATGCCAGGAGACTCAAACCAATTCAATTTATCAAACATATTTGTATTGACAAGATGGTGCTTATACAAGGGAAATATGATTAATACCGAAGGAAACAAATCTTTGAAGCAAGGATGAATGACCAATGTAGGAAAAGCCTCTGATTATACATCTAAATGGGAAAGGCTATGATGATTATGATTAGCGAAGCTATCACAGTTTGCCTGGAAAATAATGAAGGTTATCGGTCAGTTGTCTGGTTTTAAAAACTGAGTAGCTTGTACACTTGCAGTGCTGATTAAAGAAACAACATTTAACTTGAAAATACAAAGCATCTTAAAATACGATGTTTTTCATCAGTTGTATATTCTTCTACACCGTCATCATGTAAGGGGTGAAGCAGAAATGTTAATGGGCAAGTAATTGATAAAGTGCTTTATTTCCATTTTCTTTTCCCTCTTCATAAAAAAGTATTTATCTAATTTGATAAATAAAATGTAAATATAAATGTAATATAAAATAAAATATTATTTATTTAATTTGAAAGCAAAGAATGCCCAAAAGATGTTTACTTATGTTTTATTGACTATGCAAAAGCATTTGATTGTGTGGATAGTAACAAATTGTGGATAACATTGAGAAGAATGGGAGTTCCAGAACACTTGATTGTGCTCATGAGGAATCTGTACATACATCAGGAGGCTGTCGTTCAAACAGAACAAGGGGGTACTGTGTGGTTCAAAATCAAGAAGGGAGTGTGTCAAGGTTGTATCCTTTCACCATACTTATTCAAATTGTATGCTGAGCAAATAATCCAAGCAGCTGGATTATGTGCAGAAGAACATGGCATCAGAATTGGAAGAAGACTCATTAACAACCTGCAATATGTGGATAACACAACTTTGCTTGCTGAAAGTCAGGATAACTTGAAGCACTTACCCATAAAGATTAAAGACTACAGTCTGTAGTGAGGATTACACCTCAGTATAAAGAAAACAAAAATCCTCACAACTGGTCCAATAAACACCTTCATGGTGGATGGAAAAAAGATTGAAGTTGTTAATGATTTCTTATTGCTTGGTTCTACAATCAACACCAATGGAAGCAGCAGTCAAGACATCAGACGACATATTGCATTGGGCAAATGGCTACAAAGGACCTCTTTCAAGTAATGAAGAGCAGAGATGTCTCCTTGAAGACTGTGCTGTGCCTAACCTGAACCATGGTGTTTTCAGTCACCTCTTACACATGTGAGAGCTGGACAATGAATAAGGAAGACTGAAGAAGAGTTAATGCTTTTGAGTTGTGATGTTGGAGAAGAATGCTAAGAGTACCATAGTCTACTAAAAGAACAAACAAATCTGTCCTGTAGGAAGTGCAGCCAGAATGCTCCTTGTAAGCGAGAATGGCCAGACTTCGTCTGACCTACTTTGGACATGTTGTTAGAAGGAACCATTCCTTGGAGAAGGATATCATGTTTGGTAAAGTGGAGGGTCAACAAAGAAGGGGAAGACCCTCAATGAGATGGATAGACTCAGTGGCTGCAGTGATGGGCTCAGGTATAGCAAGTATTGTGAGGCTGGCACAGGACCGGGCATTGCTTTGTTCTGCTGTGCATAGGATCACTATGAGTTGAAGATGACTTGATGGCACCTAACAACAACAACAATTTGAAAGTAATGGCTGATGGCTGAAAAGGCTCAAACTAGTTTAGTATGCAGTGCTGGGCATGCAGGATAATTGTTATATATTCATTATATTTTCCAAATGAAAGTGGTAAAGTTGATATCATTATTGAAATATAAATGAAAATACTTTTCTGAGAAATCTAAAATCTAGCACCAGTTTTCTGTCCCAGTTATTTATTTATTTTGTTGATACATAAGTAATCTTAATTTCTTAACAAGGTCATAAGACCCTTGGTAACCAGGATCCTACTCTTCTTTCTTTTAACACCTGAATAATGCTTTCCACTTAGTAGTTGTTTTAGTAATATCTCAATTTCTAAAGAAATGAATGGGAATTTTTAAAATATATATATATTATGCACAATAAAATAAACCTATTCTCAAAAATATATACATACTTGAAACTCAGTATGTCTAGTTTAAAAATCCAGGTTTTCCTATTTACTTGATCTCTGAATTTAGCTCTGTCACATCATTTCTCCAGACTCAAGTTTTCTCATGTGTAAAATGGAACTGATAATGACTTCTTTGGGAATCAAATGGGATAATGAATGGAAATATTTGGCATAGTATCTGAAATTCCATGGAATTTATCATCATAGTGTTGATAATGATGATGATTATAATGAGGATGAAATGCTTTTGGAAGACTATGTCCTAACATTGCTCCTCATGTTTCTCTCTTTCTAGGTGAAGCATATATGCGATTAAGCAAACTTCCTGAGGCTGAGCATTGGTATATGGAATCACTGAGATCCAAAACTGACCATATCCCTGCTCATCTCACCTACGGGAAACTGCTAGCTCTAACAGTACGTAAATACCTTCCTTACTCTTTAGAAATTGATTTTCTCAGTGTGTAGAGTAGGATAGATGAACTTTTAGACATGCCAGTTAGCTCAGGTTGTTTGGATGTAATGTTGATGATACTATGTTAAAACCTTGCATAGAAAATATAGAAAAGTATATATTTTGGCTATGGGCTTTGCCCTAGATATAATGTGAGAGATCATGATCCTTGATGTAACAAATGGAAATATAAAAACATAAAACCCAGATATATGATTACATACTGAATTGATCATGACAACCGTATTTACATAAAGATGACGTTCTACAAGTCAGTGTTAACGGAGTTGGCTCTAAAGTAAACTAAGTTTGATTCTTTCCAAATAGCCAATGTTACTTGAAATTATGTGTGTGTACTCATCAGAATTACCTGGAATTCCTTCTAATTGACATCATTCCATAAGAGAAGTGGAACCATTGCTTGGCCACCCACTATGTGACAAGCCCTCTGGGCTGGGAGGCCACAGTTCCATGAAAGTAGTGTTAGCTTGCAACATAAGAAGTTCCTGATATTTTACCATTTTTAATCTATGAAATTATCTATTTTATGCAGGGAATTGTTCAAAAAACTTAAGTAAATCTCTATGTCACACAGCTATTATGAAGTTGAACTAGGCTTCAGTTCTCATTTGAATTTAGTATTTGTGTTATTTTAGTTATGTTGTTGTTGTGTGCTGTCGAGTCAGCCCTGACTCATAGCGACACCTCCTTGGGTTGCCGAGGCAGTATCACTATGGAAGTAGATTACCCAACCTTCCTTCCAAGGAGTGGCTGGTGGGTTTGAACCGCCAGCCTTCTGGTTAGCAGTCAAGTGCCTTAGCACTATGCTACCAGAGCTCCTATTTTAGTTATATCACCCAGTATTGATATTTATAAAAAAATAAACATTAGAAAAACATAAAGCTAATAGGCAGGAAGTGAATCCTAAATGAATTCATGAATTCATAAAAAGGTATGTTACAATTACTTAAAATTAAGGACCTTTATTTCCTACTGAATATACCAAACCAGACTCACTACCATCGAGTCTATCCCAACTCATAACAACCCCTCCTTGGGTTTCTGAGGCGGTATCTCTAGAGAGGTAGATTGCCTGATCTTCCCTCCAGTGCTGATAGGTTTGAATCACCAGCCTTCTGGTTAGCAGTCAAGTGCCTTAGGCACTATGCCACCAGATTAAAATCTTTAATTATCATGTATTCATTGTAAGATGCCACTAAATTGGCATATTAAAGAATCTAAACTTGCATACTAGATAACCAGAAAACATCCCACTAAAACATTTCTAGGTGTGCTTAATAAAATACAATAGATGTGCTTTCAATTCTTAACTAAGCTCAAAAATTAGTAAGAGAAATTTCCAGGAGCTAGAAATTCAGAAGAAGCAGAGTTACTGAGTGAAGTGCCAAAAGAACAGTGAACAAAGAAATTGGTAGTCATGTGGGTAAATGGGAATAAGCTTTTACTGTATAAAATATTCAAACAGCATATTTTATTCATAAGAAGAAACAGAATGGGAGGGGTGACTTCAATATTTAAACTGATTTTGAGGAAGTCAGGAAGCACATGGATGTGTGATCACTGATTTATCAGAGCTGTTGTTGTTGTTGTTATGTGCTGTCGAGTCAGTCCTGACTCATAGCGACCCCTCCTTGGGTTTCCGAGGCAGTATCACTACGGAAGTAGGATTGCCCAACCTTCCTTCCGAGGAGTGGCTAGTGGGTTTGAACCGCCACCCTTCTGGTTAGCAGTCAAGTGCTTTAGCCACTATGCTACCAGGGCTCCTATTTATCAGAGCAGAGGACACCAAAGCAGAGGACACCAAATCTACAAGACCCTTGGAATAGAGTAATAGAGGCAATCTAACTTATGCCATAGGAGCTCTGGTAGCATAGTGCCTAAGGCACTTGACTGCTAACCAGAAAGCTGGCGGTTCAAACCTACCAGCCACTCCTCAGAAGGAAGATTGGACAATCTACTTCCGTAGTGATACTGCCTCAGAAACCCAAGGAGGGGTCGCTATGAGTCAGGTCCAACTCAATGGCACATAACAACAACAACTTATGCCATAGAAAAATGGACTTGGAAACACCTGGCATAGATAACAGTGGAAGGCATGTTTGGGGACTGTTCTATATATGCAGCAGTCATATCTCCTCCATGTACACAGTGCCAGCAGCTAGGAACTTAACTTCAAGGCAGGAGAAAAGAGACTCATACCGATGTAGGAGTTGAATGAGAGGTCCAGGAATCAGGACTTCTGAGTGCAAAGTCAAAGGCAGAAAGCAGAGAGACTGAAAAGAGGATTGAATTTAGTATTTCCTTACCCCTTGCAGAATTCCAAGAATGTGGGGTTAACCCCGCCCTCTCAAGAGATTGCTACATTCTTATCTAGACACATTGAATCTTCTAGGGAAAATGTTTCCATATGCTTTTATTCATAAGTCCCCTTCTAAATAACTGCCTCATGAACCAGACACACAAAAGTGAATCCATCTAGTCCCAAAACACAGCTATGCCTTGGGAACTTTGATTTAGTTTCTATTATCTCACTCTTAAGTGTCACCAGGTAACCACCAGTTGCCATCAGTCATATTGGAAAAGCCACAAATGCAGAAGACTTGAACTAAAACAATAGAAGAAGGGAACATGAAGGAACCAAAGAAAATTAGAAATAAACAGTGATCTTTAGAATGAGATGGTAAAGCAGAATACAAAGGAAAAGTTAAATAATGAGAGAATAACAGAGCTTTTAGAAGTTAAAAGTATGATAGCAAAATCATTTTTATTTGAACGATGGAGAACAAAGTTAAGCATGTTTTCTCATGAGCAATCGAAGAAATGAGGAAATAGAAAATATGAAAAGAATTCGGAAAGCAATCTATATTGTTGTTATTGTTATGTGCCGTCGAGTCGGCCCCGACTCATAGCGACCCCTCCTTGGGTTTCCGAGGCAGTATCACTACAGAAGTAGGATTGCCATATTTTTGTTATTGTTATGTGCCGTCGAGTCGGCCCCGACTCATAGCGACCCCTCCTTGGGTTTCCGAGGCAGTATCACTACAGAAGTAGGATTGCCCAACCTTCCTTCCGAGGAGTGGCTGGTGGGTTTGAACCGCCAGCCGTCTGGTTACAGACAAAAAAAAAAAAAGACAAAAGGGGGTAAAATTGCTTAGAATCAAACAGTGCAAGTTATTTCTGCCATTTATAACATCATAATATGTATAGCATAATCATTTGAAAAAGAGATTGTTTTGTCTTAGGGAAACCTCTTCCAGTTCCTGTCCTGATGGGATGATAATTCAGAAAACTCCACTTGTGAATAGAATTAATGTATCTCTTGCCCCAGTTTCTCTTTTTCACGTTCTTATGGAATTTAGATGAAAATATTTTTAATTAAATTGATCAATGTTAATCTTTTAAAAATCTCTACAAGTTTCAGATGCTTAATTTACCAAAAAAGCCATTTTGAAAAGAAAAAATTAAAAACTTAAATATACCTAATGCTGAATATGCCTGGACTGTGACACTAGCCTGCATATGAAAACCATATGTTCTTGTTTATTTATTTATTTATTCTTCTTGTCATGGCTAAATATTTGAAGTTTCCTATATCAAACATGTGAGTTTAAAGGCTACTTTATTCTTTTTAGATGGCATTTTAACATAATTTAGAAGTTTTAATTTACTGAAACATGTGGAAGGAAAGACTATGTATTACAGTCCAAAATTTAATTTTCCCCCACCAAGACTTTTATAGTTTCCGACTTGCTAATTTAGATGAAATACAAACTCTGTTATGGAATGGCTTATGTGCACAGTGCCAAAACTCCACAACCATCTTTAACAGTTTCTTTCTAACTTATGAGATTTGGCAAATTTCTGATCCCAATGGATTGTCTTTGTCTAGTTTTGGGTTTCTTGGCCTGGTAATATGCTATTGACTTAACACAGCACTGGCAAGGTGGAAAATGCCTCACAATTTGACTTCTATATTATTTAAATATAAGACAATATAAAATGGAATTGGCTACTAGTCTCAAGTGAACAGGACTAGAAATGGAGTAGTACTTTTAGCATTTTGTTAAAACTGACCAAAAGCAAAATATGTAAAACATCATCTGTACAACTACATGAGACTTAAACTGAAATAGGGTTTCGTATAAGAATTAATTAGTTATATGAGTTAGGAAAAAATTATTGGTGTATTACTTTTACTGTAGTCTGTAGAATGATTCAGTATATTAAAATTTTCTTTTTTAAAGTTGTTCTTGAAGACTTCGTATAATATTTATATTATTTACAAATGTTCATTGAGATTTAAAGTGTCCCTAAACTTTGGCACATTCATAGATCAAGTTTTTATCATTATTTTTTTTTTTAATCTTTTCATAAAAATATCCTTTTCCTCTCTCTGCTAGCTCAGATTTTATTTTCTCTATGAAATCTTGCCAGACTCTTTCAGGCAGTTATTTTTTTCTTTCTCTGTACTTCCGTAGCCCTGATCTGTTTCTCTGAGTATTATTTTCCAGCTTGAATGACAGCTATAAATCTTTTTGTCTTTAACAGTAGACATAAGGTAGAAACCAATTCTGTGCTCACTTTTTTTTCTCTTTAGTACATATCATTTTACTATCTAACTATCCTTGTACCCACCTCTGTGAATTTAAGATATTTAAGGGATGAGTCTTTATTTAAAGTATTTAAAAGCTGGATCCATGCTTTTTATTTTCCTAGTCTGACAATCATTTCCTCCTTCGTTCCTTCATTTGGTCAACACATGTACAGAGACTCCATACTAAGCCCTCAGTAATATGTGTTTAATAAATGAACAGGAGAGGCACAATTGCAGAATGGGCACTGAGTAACCCTCTGAAACTGGAAGGGGAGGTAGGGACATGAAGGGTGTATATATCTTATGTTCTTCTGCTTGACATGTGTTATTTCATAGATGCCTCATAAA